CACTAAAAATTTTTCTCATCTAGTAAGTTTTGACAGTGCTGAATTTGATGTCACAATTTAATCTGTTAACGTCATCGAATAAAAGTATAAAAGTGGAAATTCAGAAACAAAACTGATTTTTGTACGCACCATGTACCAAAACTGACACCACGCTAATAACTTGAATTTTCATCTATGAGCCAAAATTAATCTAGTGGAAAAACGAGCTACCCAAAATTAAAAGTGTTACTATGTAAATTCCCTCCCTGCAAAAGTATAAAAAAATTTTTTTTCAACAAAATATAAACATTTTTTGATTCCTCGGTTTATCTTAAGTTAAATAGATCTTATTTATTTTTTTTAATCCATTGGTTTCCCACAAACATTGGCCGAGTTTAAAAAAAAAAATTGTTTTTTGAAAATTTCAGCTGCATATTAAGCAATTGTTACTTAACGCTTTGACAGCAAACTGGTACTTATGTTAAAATAATTAGCATTTTACATGAAAAATTCTATTTTGTACTTCTTGTTGAGTTTTAAAAAATAATTGACATGTATTTTTTCTTTTTTCTAAAAAATAAAAATATCAAAAGGTATAGTACCTTAAAGTTTCTCTATTGTCCTTACTATAGATATACTCCTTGTATATGTGACGATACAATTACACGATAACTTGAGTAAAGATGAATTTTTTTTTTTTAACTTTTAAGAATACTTTGATTTGATAGTATGTTAATGTAGTTTAATTCTGAACAAATTTTATTCAACCGTTTTTGTGTAATTTGAGATTAGGTCAACGTTTGTTACTTTTTTTAAATTGCTATATCTTGGAAAGTCTTAAATCCATTTTGATGTTACGAATCTTATTTTTTTCGTAATTGATCGTAAAATATACATGTGTAATGTATGCTTTACAACGTCACATATACATGGCGTTTTTTGTAACTATTAAGAAATCATAACTTTAAGTAACTGTATTTTTTAGAATTTTTATTTTGTAGAAAAAAGAAAAATAATGTGTTGGCTATTTTTCAAAATTCTACAAGACGGACCAAATAAAAAAAAATTTTTGTATCCATAATCCCAATTGTCGAACCTTGTAATTTAACAATACGTCAACGATGACCCGCTAAATATATTTATTTTGAGACGAGTAAACTTAGAAACGACGGAGTTTTTACGTGCATACAATACGTATAATTTATACCTTTACAAATAATGAACCTAAGAACCTGGAAATACACGTGTTAAATACATGTAAAACCCTGTACGTTTGAGGCTTACTGGATACAAATCAGATACAAAAACTTGATACAAAAAAGAACAAGGTTTAACGAATATTTTTAGCACTGGTTGGCTATCATAACGTTGAATGATAATTGTTCAATATGCAGCAAAAATCTGCAAAAACGCATTTTTCAAAATTTTGTGAATTTTTGCTGAGAACCTAGACGATTTATGTGCCAATGCTTTTTTCAGTGAACATTAGTATCGTCAATAAAATAATACATTAGAATTTTATATGTAGTTATTTTTCAGTTAGGAGTAATTTTATAGGATATCAGTACACACTTAAGTGACAGTATATAAATTTGAGTCGTTTTTGACAATGAATTTTTTTTTTTCAAAACGAATTTTGGAAATTCTAGTTTGATTGACTCATTAAACAGTTATGTAAAGTTATCCATTATATAGTTGTACAGCAAAAAAAGAGCCTCCGTACGTTTTTAAATGAAAGTACCGTAAAAAAAATTTTTAAAAAAATAATATGGAAAATGTTTTGAAGAAAGATACAGTTCAGTAAACCATGAGAAAACAAATTAAGTTTTTAAAAAAAAATATATCTTATGTATTTTGTATTTACCAAGAGAATTCATGAATGAATTATTGAAAAGTATAAGAATCTGTTAAAAGTTCTAATTTCTAATCCCTTGCTGTCCTTGATGTGTTAAATTTTTATCTGTTCTCCGCCATATTGGATTTATCATTCTTAATTTCCAAAATCTGACAACGATTACGCAATCAGCGACCCGAAAAACCCCCGTATATCAATTTTTATGCTTAACTTGTTGTCTTCAACGGCTCTAGTAGTTTATTTTGAATAGGGGTTGTTCACCCCTATAGGGGGTTGTTTTAAGAAAAATACAAATATTGGTTAACTGCACATGTTATGTAACATGCAAAAACATTTTTTTGATTAATTTTCAACAAATTTCACAATTATCAGAAAAAAAAACTTACTATAAAAAACATAGTTTTGAACCTTAAAATATAGGGGATGCAACCCTGACTGTAAAATATTTTTCAAATTATAAGTACTTTTCGATAGGAACAATTTTCATATAATTTTTTTGAAAAATATTGAGTTTAAAAGGAAATATTACAGAATATGTGTTTTAAGAGTAAATACTTGAGGGTAGATTTCACCCCTTAGGAACCGTTCTCCGCCGATGAAAAAAAACACGTGTTATTTATTCTTTTATTCGCTTCCACGATGCAAAGTTTTATCAAAATCAGTGACTGACACTTGGGTAGGTTTAATTGTACGATTTTTGTCCTCATTAATTATTTTTCAAACTCAAACTATTAAGTACCCCGTAAAATTTGCCTTGTAACAGAAAGAAATGTTCATGTAAGTTTTATGTGTTCAATTTAATTTTTTTGTAAAGTTAAGGAGGCCTCTTAATAGTGTCATTAAATTGTATATATATATATATTTTTTTTAATATTAGCTCTTCAAACTTCTTCAATCTACCTTGGACTTTCATTGCATTATTTTGTCTTTTACTAGTATATAAACAGAACCAAACTCAGACATGATGATTTTTAACTGGTATTAAAAGAAAATGTCAAGGTAATACCTTAATGCATTAAATATCATGTTGGCATAAGATACTAGTCAAACGTAAATATTGCTTAGTTTGACTATATTAATGTTCGAGTACAAGACGGCATAATACTGATAGTGTCACACAAATAGAAAACTGTGCACTGAGAGAAAAACGTAATAAAAATTATTAGGCTAGGATAATAATCTGGTGTCATTCCTCCGTCTAGTGACTTTTTACTTTGGCCAACCAAATTTTCACCATTCTGGACAGCAATTTCTACTATAGATATAGTAAAAATCACTATACTTAGTACGAAAGTTACTGTTCTGAACACTAAAAATCATTGTTCCATTAGTAAAAATTCTTTAGACGACCAAACACTACCAGATTACTTCTCTAGCACAGTAATTTTGATTATATATTCCTCTCAGTCTGCGAAATACAAAAAAAAATTTATGTTGTTTAAATTTTGCTTTCAGAACTGAACAAAATAGCTAAGGTGTACCACATTATTCTTACCTCGAATCCTACTAAATTGTATACTTAATGCTACTTCGGGATGCTTACCACTACATGAAAATTATGTCGAATTCAATTCACTTCCTTCAAGAATAGTCTTATGAGTTCTTATCTATGACACTATTATTTGTTTACTAGTATTTATTTAAAGAACTGCTTCACTGTATGATCTTTATTACTTTCTTCGTCGAGCCTATTGTCTAAATAACATAGTTTTTAGATAAAGTACTTTGTAATTTGTGGAATTGAAATATCTTAATGTGTCAGTTATTTAAGTAGTGTTTATTATTATATTTAAATTTATGAAACCGTTTTTTCACGTACTTCTTTAAAGTAATAATTTGTCAATGTGTAATTGATAATTACCTAGATCGCAACAAAGTTTGACGTAGTTAGCTGTTTCATTAGGCTGATTCTTTAATGACTTCCAAGTCATAGGTGCGACTATCAAGTTGATATTTATCAATACTGCCTAAATTTAAAACGATAATTTACAAATATTGTTTATTGAATCAAATTTAGTACTGATACAGAATTTTAGATCATGATATCCGAAATAAAAGTTTTCTTCCCATAACCTCAAAATACCAGCAGATGATGCTTGCCTATGCCTTCAACATAGGACACGTAAATGCATGCCTGTGTTTGTTTTAATGTTTTTTGATTGAGTCCGTGAACATATATATTTTGAGATAGCAGTATGCTTAGTATTGCGTAAGCTGTATTGTGTCAATTTTTTACATAGTTATGTTCAGTAAATAAATGACTAGGCTACAACTTTCAGTCAAAAAATGCTTAGTTGCCATAAGAGCACATGTTTAGAATTTACTTTTTATTTATCATGTTTTTGTGTTTACATTTGTTAGCACACTCTAAAATTTTGAAGGCTAGTATATTGTAACTTAGTAAATGATTATTCAAGGTTTTCTGTTATTATATTGATAATTATTTTATGAAAGAACCGCCTTGAAGATTTCGTGAATCACTAAATTCAATGATTTATTTTCTTACTCATGGTACACGGTAAGAAAAAATTTAAAATTACGCTATGATTAAATCTCTTGCTATCTCATTTTTTGTAGTATTATTCAAGCTTAAAATGATGTCACTAAATGAGGGGGCTTGAATAATAATAACTTAAATTATAAATAAGAGTGACCATACTTGGTTTTCTTATGATACAGCAAATTATATAATATTATTATCAGTTTTATTGCTGTTAATGAATTCGATTAATAGTAACATTTACTTTAATACCTGTAGTAATTATGGTATTTACGTATAAAACAGCCATAGTTTGGAGTTAAAAATCTATATGTGCTGTATTTTAGCAATGTGATTTTTATACGTTTCGTAATTTGTCGCTTAGCAGGCATCTTTAGCAATATTTCACGATGTCTGCTAAAAAAGCAGAAAATACCGTTAGCCAAAATTTCAATGCTAGCAATTCTACTTTAAAAAAAAAGATATACTTTTCTTCACCACACTAGAGAAATTCGTCTTGAAGCTAAATTCATGAGAACAACACATTTCATAAAAGTTTAACCCGAAAAATCTTGTGTTGAGCATTTGGAGGTTAAAATGTCTTGTTGTGTTTAGTGTAATAACTTGTTTACCCATATTTTTCGATGAAGCTGTAAAATAGGATAAAAAAGGCTTTAGTAAACCAAAATGCGTAAGGTAAACTGGCACTCATAATTATTTTATAAGTTCATTTTATTATTTATACTAAATTATTGCAACAAGTGCATTATTTTGCTGATTAGACTCTTGTTAAACAGATAATATTAAAAGAAACCTCATTTGAAAAAAATTTGTTGTATAGGTCGTAATAATAATGACTTGTCTCTACAAATAAATATAGTGTATGAAATGATAAGGTTTATGTCACTTTAGTAAATTAAAATATCAGAAATATTCAATTAAAATCGAACTTGTTTGAGAACCATAAAAAAAAGAACCTAAAATTGTTTAACCAGGATTTTTTATTTGTGATAGTGCTGTGTATATTTAAAAAAATTAATTCAAATATTAACAACGTAACGTCGCTGGTTTTATATTGTAATTTAGAAAATCTGTTTTGTAAGTATCAATACTAATTTTAAGTAAATTTTAAAGGACGTAAGGTTTTTAATACAATTTTCCAAAATTTTAATGATAAATCAAAATCATATCTTAGTAATTGGTTCTTTACAGGCATACCACGAAAACTTTTTGGTAATTATAAGCTGACTTATTACGAATGTTTTATTTTATGAACCCAAAGAATTCAACGACGTGAATGATCTTTTATTTGATTAATAAAGTATTTTTAAGAAACTTTTTGCAATAATTATCATCACTTTGTATTTGATTAGGACATATCATTACGTAAATAAAAAGTTTTTTTCGAAAGTTTTAAAACTGCTATACTAATTACATTTTTCAACTAAATTTACGATGCGTCCGCAGAAGAATGTGCACCTTATTTTCAAAAGTCCAAAACAGTCCATATAAACTTATACTGTAATAACCATTTCTTTAGTAGATTTGTGTTGCATAATAAGTCACATCTTTTGAGAAAATCGTGGGTATAATCGTAATATAAGATTCATCTACATAATGCTATTACCCCTTACTTAAGTAGTAACTATCGCACTAATAAATATGAGATATAACTGAAAATTTACTGTACGACTAACATCGTCACGGTAAATGCATGATACCTAGAAGTATTACATTGATTATAAATTTATTAGCCTTATAATGTTATAGATAAACTTAAATTGAAAAAAATTATTATTATTAACACATAATAAACTACGAGTTATAACAATTCACCTTAGATTTTGGTTGTAGAAATTCATACCTGCCTGAAAAAAATCAGGGTAAAGATCTCAACCTCTACTTATTTGCTAACCTTAAACTATTTGCAAACTATTCATGAATTTTGTCTATCATGCAAATGCAAAAAACCTCACCACATGTAGAAAAAACTAAAAAAAGTAATGGTACTTCATTATTACAGGCATTAAAAATTTTTTTATGGCCTGGCAAAAAATGGCTATTTTTATTTGCATCTTAAGGTGTTTTTTTTAAAACCTCGATTTAAGCAGATGAAATAGCATGAAAAGTTAAGAAAAATTGAAGTAACAATTAATTTTTTTATTTCGATTCTCAGATTTGAGTAGAATTTTTAACCAAACCTAGTATTTTTAGAATTCCAAAGTCTAAAAATAATCCTAAATATCATTTTTAGTGTAGGGAAATAACAATTTTAGTCACAATTTTTTAAATAAATGTTTGTCATAGATGATAGGAAACAGCAACTCATTAGTTAGAAAACTAACTCGTTATGTCTAAATATTGGAACATAATTTTTTTAAACTAAAGTTATTTCAAATATTTTGCTTACAAAAAAATTAAAGAGCTGGATGAATATTTATCATCTGTTTACCCTTTCTGCCACAAATTGATTGCATTTAGATTTTCTTTATTAGCTATTTTTAGACTATGCAGATAGTCCTGTAGAAAATTTAGATTGAAAAACAAAAAACATTTAAACGTCATATTTATTCCAAACTACTATTTAAAATAAATGTGTAGAGTGTAAAACTTGACTAAGTTTACGTGACTTATGTGCATAGTAACTGTACTGTTTGATGTTGTTTAAACAGGCTTTTTAATTTCTTATTGCTCTGTTTGAGTTTGAAAGTGTTAAAAACAGTAGTTATCTTTTATCTTTAAATACAGTAAAATATATTGTTGCAACTTTTTAATTGTACATAAAAAACTGTTTTAAACAATCTTTAATGAATGTATGTGTGATGATGAAGACGTTTGACAATTGGGGTGATAACAATAAAACTTGGTTCTCAAACAAGTTCGATTTTAATTGAATATTTCTGATATTTTAAGTGATATATAGTTGTTATACAACATTTTCTAAGAACTTATATACTAATTGAATGGTCATACATACAAACTACAAAAACTTGTACATTTTTTCAATGCATATAAAAATAAAATTTTGCTCTTATATCACGTGCAATGAAAATTATTAAATGTGAGGGATATATTCTCTCCGTGTTTTATGGTACATCTTGGTCATTTAAGTAAAGAATGATGAAGGTATAGTTAAAATAATTAAAATGATCCTCCTAATTATTATTAGAATAAAAAAGCATTCTTTACATTATTCTAGCATGCATTAGTCTAAAAAAGTATCAAATTCATGAAAGTTGACCCAGACCAGTAAAGGGTTACACAAACTTCAATTTTGTTTTTTGTATTAAATTAATGTTTTACCAAGAAAACCCAAATAATATAACTCAAACTAAAGTAATTTCACAAATATTGAATTTTAAAACAAACATTGTTATTCTTTGCCATATTATGAAATTAAAAAAAAGATTGAATACTTTCCTTCCATTTATTTCTAGTGTTACTAACGGATGATATCTACAGTTATCTTATTAGTGACTTTCTGAATAAGTAAAAAATGTTGTAAAATATCTTTGAAGAGAAAATATCTTTTTTTATTATACTATCGACATTCCAAGATGTACTAGAAATTTGTATAGTGTATGACACGTTTGAGTTAATTTTATTTAAGTAAAAAAATTAACTAACGATTTAAAAATTTTTGAATTATGCGTATTACTGAATAACAGATGTAATAGAACTGATTAATGTTACAGAAAGACGATTTCTTAGTTGTCTGTATGTAGAGAAATTAATTCATTATTAATAATTCATAAACAATATAAAAGTTGTAGGTTGTATTAATTATAAGTTGAATTAACAAAAATGATTTAAAAATCATTGAATTAAAATGAAATAATGTAACGTGCATCTAGGTAAATTCTTGGCAACAGTATAAGTAACATTTTTTGTTAGTCTGTAAATTGTTACTAAGCAGACTTTATAGTAATCTATGAAGAACCTTTACTGACATGACTAGTAACAATTATTTTAGTTTTATGATAAAATTTTATGGCAGCTGTATTTAAAACCGTATGTCTCTGTAAAATAACTGTATTGATATAAAAAAAATTGCTATGAAGATTTTTTATTGTCATATAATAATAATAATAACAATAATAATTATAATAATAATAATAATAATAATAATCAAATAAGACGTTACATGACAGTTGGTAAATAATTAAAAACAACGTCCAATGGTGGTAAGGTCATATTTTGTATTTATTAAAAAACAAAAAGACGTTTCGGCTGTTTAGACAATGTCCCGGCTCTCATCAGATACACGAATCTATGAGTAACAAAAATTCTTTACTATACTAGTTTTGGTAAAATACAATAATTGCAAATTAAGTTAAGTGTACAACATACCTCTGACTCTTACGAAAGGGATGTAAAATCGTAATATAGTCAGAGTTTCAAGTTTAGTTGCTTTTATACCCTGCACGTACACGAATGACATAGTACACGCACGTAATACAATCAAATGTGAATTGAAAGCAGTTCCTTGTGAGACGTACATAAACAGCTCATGTTTTTCTTATACTATAAATGAAAGGGGTTCTCAAATCATGTATATCAAGTTGGTCCCCTTTCCTAATTGACTTAACGATAGACTTATAACAATTTTTTAATGTCTCTGTATCTTGTTGTCTATTAATATAATAATATTAAAGTAATGTATATTTAACATTTCGAAAAGAGGCGCTTTTTGTAATTTTGTTCTATTTCTAAAATTTTTGTTTTATTAAAATTGAAGCTGTGTATAAATTCAATGCTATGTTGTAATTGTACAGATATTTCTTTTTTTTTCTGCGTCTCTTTTGTGTTCTGACATTCTTAATTTTACAGCTCTCGATGTTTGACCGACGTAACAGCAGTTGCAATTCGCACATGGTATGTGATAAACGACATTGTTTTATCGAGTGGCTTGGTTACATCTTTTCCAAGTGATATGATCAAGTTTAATTTATTGTTTAAACTGTATACAAGACCAATGTGAAGCTCCTGACAGTAATATTTATTAGAAATGTGCAAATGGAGAATACATGGTAATGATAAGATTCGTTTATAATTATTATCATTTCTATTGCGATTGTCAATCATTTTGTGTTTTTTGAGGTATTTATTCTTTTATTTAAAAATTTATCAATAATTTTTGGAGAATAGTTGTTAGCTAGTTAAAATTGATTTATCAATTTTTAATTATCATTATGGAGTTGAGTGTCTGCTAATTTAATGGAAAAATCTACTAGTGTGTAAATGATACCTAGTGTGTGTTGTATTAGATGATTGGAGAAAAAATTCAAGTATCGGCCTGAGTATGTGGGTTTTTGATACCAATTAGCTGGTACTATGTTATTTTGTTGAATGATAATTTCAAAATCTAAAAAACTAATGCTGTTGTAATTACATGTCCCAACAGTGAGTTGTAATTTAGGACAATAGCTGTTAAAAATTTTTTCAGTATAGTTGATATATTTAGTAGGCACACATATGAGAACATCATGCACATACCGTACATACAGTGGAACATCAAAACATAACTTGTTTAAGCATGAAATTTCAAGCAAACGCATTATGAGATCACATAACACCGGACTACAGGGACTGCCCATTGGAGAGCCAAAAGCTTATTTATTAAATTTGTTGGTGAAATAAAAAAAAAGTCGAATTCAAAATTAAAGACACACCCGTGCAAAACTCATTGAGAGAAA